GGATGAAGTGGATGGGCTGGATGAAGTGGATGGGCTGGATGAAGTGGATGGGCTGGATGAAGTGGATGGGGAGGCTGGAGGGGGTGGGGGGGGGGGGGGGGAGGCACACACAATAGTGCAGGGACGTTGGAAACACAGCTCAGGGGGACACAGGAGCGCAGGGGTCTCAGGATCGCCGGGGTTTCAGGATGATTGGCTGATGGGATGAGTGGATGATAGGATGAGTGGAAGATGGGATGATTGGCTGATGGGATGATTGGCTGATGGGTTGAGTGGATGATGGGATGAGTGGATGATAGGATGAGTGGATGATGGGATGAGTGGATGATGGGATGAGTGGATGATGGGATGAGTGGATGATGGGATGAGTGGATGATTTGGATGAGTGGATGATGGGATGATTGGATGAGTGGATGATAGGATGAGTGGATGATGGGATGAGTGGATGATGGGATGAGTGGATGATTGGACGATAGGATGATTGGCTGATGGGATGATTGGACGATGGGATGATTGGCTGATGGGATGATTGGCTGATGGGATGATTGGCTGATGGGATGATTGGCTGATGGGATGAGTGGATGATAGGATGAGTGGATGATAGGACGATTGGCTGATGGGATGATTGTTCCTCCATCGTGTCTCTCCAGGAACGCCGCACTGACCCGTAAACCTCTTCTCATGTCTCTGCTTCTCTTTTTCAGCAATAGCTTTGTTTGAGAGTCAACCATGGCAGATCCCGGCCACAGCCCGCGATTCGGACGAGGACTAGGATCCGAGAAAGCCCATAGGAGGCATGGGCCTAGGAGGCTGAGAAAAAGGGGGGGAGGGCACGGGGCAAAAACCCAAAGAGACACTTTTCTTTTTCACAAATGAAGTCCCACATGAGATGGTGAAAGGTCCGCCTTCCACGTTCCACGTGCTCAGCCTATCGAGAGCCAACAGATTCCCTATTCATCTGCCCATTGTGCCTCTGACCCATGTGAGTGTTCTGCAGGAGGACCAATCCAATGACGGATCTATCCATGACTATAGGCCACTCCCCTAACCATGAGGCCACGAGGTACCGTGAAGGAGGACCAATCCAATGACGGATCTATCCATGACTATAGGCCACTCCCCTAACCATGAGGCCACGAGGTACCGTCACTCCACTGGGCATGAAGTGCCCTTACTGCTGACGGGACATCTGAAGTCCTCCTGATACTGAGGTCCTAGACGTCTTAGCAGTCGCTGGTTTTGGGGGACTTGTAGTTCCCTAAAAAGAATGTATAATGGTTTTGCATATATTTTCTTGTTGAATATATATTTTATAATCTGCTACCCAGTCTGTCTCTTGAACACCTGCAGTAAAAGTCCGTTGTTTACAGAGCCGAATAGCTCAAGCTGTAAACTCATCACACAAATGAGTAAAGTCAGAGCAGGGACTTGTCCCTTATCTCCGGCCAAGGTTTCAGTCAGACAAAGGTAGCCTGAAGGTAGGCAGATTCTGCTGTGCTGTCTCATTGGATGGCCCATAGTGCTCTGGGAATCCTTTTTCATTTATGAAACGTTTATTTGTGAAACAGATTGTATACACGTAGTGAAAACAATATATATATATATATGTATATATATATATATAACATCTGATTTTAAATGCCTTTGAGTCTGTGTAGATGGCCTCAGTTTGAGAAGCTCCTGAGGTCGCCCAGAAATCATTGACCTGCAGTTGACTTCTTTCTGACCTGCATTCCCACTGGAAGCAAACAATAGCCCTTCAACACAGACAAGGGATGCACCGATACCGGTATTTTGGTACCGAGTATCGAATACCGAAAGTCCCATTCAGGAAGACTGGCGGCGTGTAATGACTCGCCACCCGGCTTCCCCATTAGCAAGGAAGCCGTCCCATGCTTAGAGCTAGGGTTAGGGGTTAGCGAGGGTTAGGTTTAGGGTTAGTGAGACTAGACTAGACCTTAGGGTTAGGGTTACGAGAAAGCATAGAGCCGGCTTGCTGGCCAATTATGGAAGCTGGGCGCAGTGTAATGACGCAGTGCCCTGCTTCCTGATTGGCCCGGGGGCCGGCTCCATGCTCCCTCGTCATCAGATGGGTTAGGGTTCGGTTTAGGGGTTAGCGGTTGGGGTTAGTGAGACTAGACTAGACCTTAGGGTTAGTGAGGGTTAGAGTTACGAGAAAGCATGGAGCCGGCTTGCTGGCCAATCATGGAAGCTGGGCGCCATGTAATGACGCGGCGCTCTGCTTTCTGATTGGCCGGGAGACCGGCTCCATGCTCCCTCGTCATCAGATGGGTTAGGGTTCGGTTTAGGGTTAGGGGTTAGCAGTTGGGGTTAGTGAGACTAGACCTTAGGGTGAGGGTTAGGGTTAGTGAGGGTTAGGGTTACGAGAAAGCATGGAGCCGGCTTGCTGGCCAATCATGGAAGCTTGGCGTCGTGTAATGACGCGGCGCCCTGCTTCCTGATTGGCCCTCGTCATGAGATGACGCGGGACCATGAATCCGGCTTACCGGTCAATTAGAATGCCGAGCGCTGCGTCATTACACGACGCCCGGCTTCCTGATTGGCCAGCTTTCCGACCAATGAGGAAGCCGGGCAGCATGTAATGACGATTGATGATTAGCCAGGAAGTCGGCTCCATGCTCCCTCGTCACTTGTGACATGGAGCCGGCTTCCCGGCCAATCAGGAAGCCGGGCAGCGTGTAATGACGCGCTGCCCGGCTTCCTGATACCGGAAGTATCGGGCTAGGCATCGGAGCATTTGGGCGAGTACTCGCCCAAACACTCGGTATCAAACCCGATACCGATACTGGTATCGGCATCGGTGCATCCCTAACACAGACCCTTACACTTCTCTTCTTTATACATCAGCACCAGCAGAGCATCTTGAGCCTGGCAGAAATCTGCAGAGAAGGACCCGTGCTCTCTGCGTGGAAGCAGTGGTCTCCCTGCAGAGCTCCAACACACCTACTGTTGAGTCAGAGCCGGTGCTTTCCAATTAAAAAGTTCCCGCTGATTGAAGAGCTCTGACTTAGTAGAGTGTGTCTGGGGCCTCTGCAGAGAGACCACTGCTTCCACACAGAGAGCAAGGATCCTTCTCTGCATTGTAAACACTTTTTAAATGTCTGTGATACAGGCAACTAAAGCCGGTCTGGTTTCTCGCTCCCTGGATCAGGTTTTTACTTCTGTCTACAAGACATGACCCCTTCTGATGCTATTCTGACTCTGATTGTTGTATCGGCGATTTATCCCCCTTGCTGAGACCTCTATGCCTGGCCTGTATAAGCAGATAACATTGCGGCAGACAATCATCAGAGAGCTGAACTCACCAAATACCTTTTCATCCACGAAGAGCTTTATTTTGTGCAGCAGGTTACAACAGACAACAGGATACAGAAGATGAATGAATAGATGGTATTTGAAGGTCAGAGATGGTAATGTTTCCAGGCTAGCATGTGGTCCTGTTACGAGTAGCCATGACACTAAAACGACTACAGGAGAAGAAGGGCGGTACATCACACAAAAGGGGAGGGAAATGCAGAAAAACATTGTGCAATAACCCGAAATGACCACAAGATGTCAGTATAATAATCAGCTATAGTATACCAACGAGCAAATGGCTTCAGGAATATAAACTATATAAAATCTCATTTAACATTAATATGAATATTAAAGGAGATCTGTGAGGTGAGTGATTTTCACTCAGCCTCATAACTCGAGCCGACCTGCGACAATGGGACTGTCACAGGTTGGCTCAATAGATCGGGAAGTGAGGGAACACATACCGTCACTCGCTCACTTCTCGATCATCTCCCTGCAGAGAGCAGTGACTGTCAGTCACGGCTCCCTGCAGGGATTCCCCCCTCCCCTGACCGATCCTCCAGCGCTGACTGGCGGAACGGACGGGGGAGGGGGCAGGTACAGCTGGCTCTGCCTCTAGATAGGCAGAGCCAGCTGTCACTCACACAGCTGGGCGGATCTCGACATCGATGTCGGGATCCGCTCCGGCTGCGGCGTCTCAGTATACCGCGAGCTGTAGCTCCCTATATACTGAGCTTAGGGTGACGGGAGGACGCTAGTTTGTGTCCTCCCGTTACCCTGAGGAGAACTATGGGGAAAAACACTGACCCCATAGTTCTCCTTTAACTCTGGCTATGAATTGTTATACTTGATATTGTGACAGCACAGATGCCAGTTGTCATTCACAGTGCCTTAGATCACATCCAGCTTCTATTACCTCTGCCCCTCAGGGTCATTGTGTGTCTGCGGTCATATGGTGACATCATAATGCCTCGGGGTGTAGAGGGCCTTGCAGGTGTCATACCTGACCTCACTGATCCGGATCCTAATGACCGGAGACATAAATATCCTGAGAACACGCTGAAGATTTATCAAATTCCTGGAAAAGACATCTGAGTCAGCAGTTTTTGCATGAGGCATATATCATACATTACGGACACCTGTGCAAAACAAAAGAACCAAAATGGTGCAACATTTTGGGGGGTACAAAGAAACCCCTGTGTCACCTATTTATTTACTTCGCACCCCTTGCAGCGTGTATCCGCTTAGCCAAAGTATCCATTAAAAATAATATTTTATTGTCTCTTGATGAGTTATTCTGCATTTTTTTCCCCCCCAGGTATGTGAATGATTTGGACGCTTATGACTGTCAAGCAGTGTGAGGTGAAATTGGAACCCCAGTTTTTTATTTTTTATTTAATCTAACATACAAGAGGCCTTCATGATCAGAAATAAAATAAACAGCCTTTGCTGCAATTGTCGCCAATTCGGAGCAATCCTCGCAGTAACCCATTTCCACCACTAGATGCCACCAGTCTTCCAGGCTGAATGACAGCCAGTGTCACTTCCTCTGAGTCAAGGCTGTCATGGACCTGGACTTAGAGTATTGTCCAGAAGACCCATGGCATAGAGATGTGTATATACTGTATATTTGTTTTTTAAGCTGTGTGAGGGTGCAAGTTCACAATATCCTCCTTCATATAGTTACTTTAATTTTGTTCCCCCTCTAATCCGCCAGTCAACAGCAGATAGATTAGGGAAGACTAGTATTAGGATCAAGATACTGATGATGCTGGACAACCTCCAGCCATGAAATGAGGCGGGCTCCGTCTCACTTGCCACGGCTTCTAAATAAGTAATTTCAGTCCAGTCCAGGCCGGGACAACTGTGCAAGACTGAAGGGAAGGCTGGAGTCTGAAGGTAAAACATAACTACCCTTGAAATCCCCACCCCCCCCCC